CTTGTATTTTGCCTTGGAATCTTTGGTAATTTCAGTGATTTTTATCCCTTGTGACTCTCAATTGCTTATTATTGTCTAGCTTTCTGCTTTCTCATACCTGTAGAATTTGCCCTAGTGACGCAAATGGTCATAAGTCTGAGAGCTGCTTGGACCTTCTCTGTCTCTGTTTATTCATGCTGGGGAAAAAAAGAATACTGGTTGTAGGAAGGACAACTCCTGTGGTGTTTGTGGCAAATGTATTTAGGGATTCCTGAGCAAGACCATGATCTGTAGTATATGGAGATGTTGGGCTTCGTGAACTTGTATTTTGGTTACATACTGCTGAGTTGCTCAGTGGAAGATGATTTGGCTCTGCATACAAGGTTCTCACGCAGTGTTGTAATCTGGATCCATGGAACTTGCATACTTTATTCAAATTGGAAAAAAGCAACTGGCAAACTACTCTTTACTGTATATACTCACAGATAAGCTGAGAATTTTAGGTGCCAAAATACACCCCCAAAATTGGGTTTAGCTTATCTACAGATGGGCTTATCCATGAGTATGTACAGTAATATTTTTTAAAAGTACCTGTATATCACATATATACTCGTGGATAAACCCATCCACAAATAAGCAGGCCCTTGAATTTTTAACCAAAATATAAAAAATGTGCCACCCACAGATCAGCCAATTGTGAAAATTAAAATACGAAAATTTAGAGGGTTGGCTTATCCGCAGTTGGTGAATGGGCTTATTCACAAGTATATATGGTAATTGTTGCCAGTTGAACCTACAATAATATATATTATTTCAACTTTTATATTGTTTAACTTAAAAGTATTTTCGGATAAAAAGAATATTTATTTGCTTTTTCCTCAATCTATGTTTAATTCAGAATGTCTATTTATTTCTACCAAGGAAAGGCTTCTAAAGGTGCCTGTGCAAATATATATTGAAGTTCAGAGAGATCAAATAGTAAGGCTGTTACAGAATTTGAACAGCTGAAGACTTCCTTACAGAATTCTCTTGGGCTTTTTTGGAGTTAATTCGAAAATGGCCTAATTGGTGAAAATTAAGTGGCTTCTGATGTTAGAATGGCAACTTCTTGGAATATAATAGCTTTTTCCAATCAGATGGTGTTTTTCTTGCTCTATTTTACTGGAGGAATCAGTGTTTAGAACGTTATATTTAGTGGATTTTATGCCCTTTGATATACCATCTGTCTTGTGGACAAGTGCCAGTATTGCTGCTAAAAGATTAAGACTGGGTGGATTATATATCTCTCTGCTGCTGTGATTATGGTATAGCTTGCAGTTAAGTACTGGCGGCTGTTTGGTCATGTTACAAATTACGATGACTGGTCTTTGCTAAGTTACAGAGAAAAATAAAGGCTGTACTTTAGTGCATCTGGTTGTCGCTTGTCTTTGTGTCCCAGGGCCATGAATATTTGCTTTAAAAAACAAAAATGTAAGGATTTGTTAACAATTGCAATCTTATTTTTTAGTTTTGGATTCCTAACCTTGCAGTCTTTCAGATGCAGTTGATAAGGAGTGAAAAAAAAAAAGAGATAAGTCTAGAGGATTTTCCAGTCACAAATTGCATAGGAATGTATGTAATCTCACCCATAATTCTACTTTGCTGAAAATATCACTTTTGGCATTTATGGTGCCAAAACCATGTATTTATGTTGTGTTGGTAGCACTGGTTCATAGTATTCTGTGCAAATGAATATAAATTGATGAGGCGACTATTTCCAGATATGCTTTGTGGCGCAGTATTTTGCCTGTAGTTTCTTCAGTTTTAGAAAAGCATATGTGAGTTTGAGCTAAGTAATATGTATTTGTTTTGGTCAGTCTGTGGAGATAAGACGTCTTGTAGAATGTTTTGCAAAGTTGATTTCCAGTAGAGCTGATGCAATTGATAGGCAGATATCTTAAATTGCTATGTAACACATAAAGCTTTGGCAGAAGAGCTTGGAGCACATAATTTATAGATGACGTGATAGAGACAGATGCTTGTTCCAGAAAGTCATCTAATTGTACATTTCTTAAAATGCATAATTAAAAACTGAAATGAGAGTAGTGGATCTGCTCTTAATGCCTGTAGCTGCTGTCTCGCAGTTGACAGTTGATTCTACCATATATCTTTCAAATATGGACTGCATTTTGGTAGCATGTATTAATATGTTTTCAGTTAGAAGGAGAAAAGCCAAGATGGGTGGTCTCATCCATGCTGATAAAGGTTGCTTGGAAACAAAGACAGTTTTTTTTTCCTCCTAGATGCCTTTTTTTTTTGCTTTTGTTTTAATCTTTTTGCCTGGTTTAGATTTGCTGAAATAGCTGTTACAGGTTTTGATTTTCACTTGAGATAAATCATTATTGGTTTCTACAGATTTCTGCAATTGAAACTATAGATCATTTCATTCTGAACAGTCGTCCTAAGGAAATTATTTCCACTGTATGTTGTATAAATGAAGCCAATGAATTCAACTTTGGGCATTCATGTGATAGCTCTGTTAAAAAGTAACTGGGAAATGAATTAATTAGTTGCTGCAGAGGGGTTGTAAAATGGTTGATTATTTTCATAGGAAGCGATTAAACGGATGGCAGAAAAATTTCCACCACTATATTTGGGGTAAATGTTCCACTTTCTTATTAAAAAAAAAAAGAGTGCATTGTTTCTAAAAAAATATAATTAGCTGTGTAATAGTTGGATATCAGTATCAATTAGAGTGGGCTTATATAATGTACATTTTGGGGCAACTACTGTCCCTAGGAATTTTTATATTATACCTTGAATGCATGTGTAGCCTCTATTATTTGCCAAGAGAGAAGATTAAAAGCAAACATGCATAATTCAAGCATGCTAAATTAGACCCAGTTGTATTAAGGCATTGGAAAAAAAATCTAATTCAAAGTTGTTTGGAAGGCATGCATCACTTGGATGTGGAGCTCCAGTTTCTTGCTCGAGGATTTTTGACTTTATTTTAAGGGTGATTTTTCTGTTGAGCCCTGTTTCAGTATGACTTGGAGAGGTAGAGGCCGGTTTAGCAATCTTTTCCGTGGAAATAGTGAGAGGGATGTTTGTAATATGGCTATATTTGGATTTGAAACTTCTGTTCAAAGTAAGTATGAACTGAATGATGTTAAGTGGGGTGGGGTGAGGGCACAGCTTAATAGTAGAGCGTAAGGTGTGTGTGTGTGTGTGTGTGTGTACGGGGCATCTTGAATTTTTAGGGCAACTAAAGGAAAGATATGTGATGCTATGAAGCTACGCACCTCAAATAACTATATATTGTTTTGAGAGAGTGAATGTAGGTTCATTTCTATGAGATTTGGGCTTCTGAGACCTTACAATGACTAGATATATGCCATGTATTTATTAGGTACCTTACAGAACATAATCTTTGCAGGGCAGCTCAGAAAATTAGAAATAGTGTAGGGTGGTTCATGTAACATGTTAAATTCTGAAATCCAGCCTAATCAAATACAAGCGCTTTGTTTACATAACATACTTTGCCAAAATAAATAAACCATATAACGGTTTAATATGATGGTCTGCTTCGCACATGCGAAGCTACAAAGGGTCCCACTCTATTTTAGCTTAGTCTAATGTGTTGTGCAAGCTAATAAGGTGGCACATTATTAAAATTATTGTTAATCAGAAACTGGTATCCTTATTTAAGGGAGCCGACAGATTTTGATATTCCCTCTTGGGCTGATTTGCAATGGATGCTGTAGTGACTTTTTAGATCCTTGCTCATTTTTTAAAAAGTGTTATTTATTACTGAACTTCAATCGTTTTTCGGCCAAGAATGATTGAAGATGTGGGGAAAGGTTTTGAGATACTGTGCTCACGACCTCAGAATGAAAGCATAGTGGTGACAAAACAGGAAATAGGAAGAGAGGTATTGGGGAAGAAATGGTCCCTCTAAGGGGATGTTCAGCGAAAGCTGTTTGGGACGATGGCTTTGCAGGCATGGCGCTTCCGTTTGGCTGACCTCTGAAGTGTTGCCCCCAGTGAGCATTTGAGTGGCAAACCGCATGAGGGTCTCTTTCTCTCTCCTTACAGAAGGATCGGTGTACATGGTCTCTGTTGGTCTAGGCAGTGTTAATTCCAGTTGCCCTTAAGGCTAACAGTTTTACTGGGGAGGTGAGGCAGGAAAAAAAGCAGGTAAGCATTCTGTTAACAGCAGAAGGGGCTGATTTATTAGAAATGTGGACAGTTGAGCTATGTGCTATGAATGGAAAGATATAGCGCTATGGTTTATAGGACTGGTAACAATCGCGTATTCTAAAGAGACCTAAATTTAGGGCATGTAGTGATGGATACCCTAGCTTGATTGATATGGTTTGTGGGTAAGCTTGCCCATAGTGTGTTTCTGATGGCTTCTTTCCCCACACTTGCTTCTAAATGCATAGCATGCCCTCTTATTGTTTCAAAAGCAATTGGCTAATAGCACAGATTATTGTTTGTGTTTCTTTCTTACCCTGAAATGCTTTTTGCAGGGTTTTGAGAGGTAGTGATGTGTTTCTGGAGGCCTTCTTTTGCTTCCCTTATGTTACGTTATTTCTTATGTCCAGTTTTTCTATTTTCACTTAAAAGAGCAGGAAACCTGTTAGTTATCTAGCATACTTGTATTCGCATAACCATCACACTTCAACTTAAGAATGGAAAGTAATCACCTCTTTTGTTCCTTTCCACATTGTTGGGTTGGCGCTTGCTCTAATTTTTTTGTGGTTGCTACAGATTGGAGGAATTATCATTAGGGATTTTCTCTGACTTTTGGTTTCTCTACCGTCTTAACTCGAGCTTTAAATCTGTCTCTGGTGGAAAGTATGTGATTGAGGGTGGTTATAAATTAAGAGACTAGCTGCTTTCAGAATTGTGTTTGTGAGTGCGTGTGTGTGTGTAGACACGCACATCGACTTTGCTTCATTAAAGAAAGTATGTGATTGAGGGTGGTCATAAATTAAGAGAATAGCTGCTTTCAGAATTGTGTTTGTGAGTGTGTAGACATGCACATCGACTTTGCTTCATTAGAGAATAAAGTCAGTAGATGCACCATATAATTTCACCTGATAAATTACCTTTTGTTTTCATTTAGTTTACTCATAGAGACTCTCATGAATTCCTGTCAATAAGCAAAATACATGTATCCAAAGCAAGAGCTCTGAATATTTATTGGTGTCTTAAAAGAGAGGACTGCTTTTTTCCCCCAAATTTGCTAAATTATTTTTGAGATGTGGATTGATTATCCAAGCAATTGATTAAGTAGGTTCCCCTGGTTTAAATTTGTGAGACTTGCATTTCTGTGATATGAACAGGCGATACACTGTGTTTGTAGCAGCTGTTTATGGTGATTATTATAATTTAAGAAAGTGGCAGAGATCAGTATGAAGTGAAACATATTTTTTCATCTTTTTATTATTTATTTAATCAATGTATTAGCTGCCTCCTCCCCTCAAGCAACTCTAGGTGATTCTGCATAAAGGAAAGTAGTTGTCAAGAAAATATCTTTCTTTTCAAGTTCCTTTTTTCCTTCCTGTTTTTTTAATGTTAGAGATGTTGACTGTCAGTTTAGGAGTTGGTGTTCTATGTATATTTGGTTTGCAACAGTTAGCAACGCTTGGGGTTTTGACTTACATAGAATCTCAGTTTTCAGCTCTAACAGGTTTAGAAATACTGTTTCTAATTAAAATGAATTTGCTTTCATTTCATTCATATATTTTGAAGGCTTATTTTTTAATAGTAGTACAGTAGTTTTCTACCCTCCAAGATATGTTAGGATTTTAAAAGAGCAGGGTTCAAAAGAGCAGAATGAGAATGTAATTTACCTTAATTTCTGCTTATTCATTTTATGCTATTTTACTCGCTTGTATTGCATAAATATTGATAATTCTCTTCTCTCTTTTCCGTGAGGCATGGAAGTTTAGAGTTTAATACAGTTTGTCTTTAATTTTATTTCTTCATTTGTTTGTTTAATAGCCTCTTCAGCTGAATAGGGCAGCTGACCATCAAGTGAAAATATTGGGAGCATAATCCTTTCCAGGTTAAACTATTTTCATTTGGATGATGATTTTTTGTAATTTAGTAGCTTAAGGTTTTAGGATCAGAAATAATCCTTTAAATCAGTTAGCTGTAAAACTGATTTTAATAACATGTTGCTGTTTTGTTTTATGCAGGCGGAACTGACAGGCATCAAGTGGCGTAGGTATAACTTTGAAGGTCATGGAGATTGTGGACCTATTATCTCAGCTCCTGCTCAAGATGACCCAATTCTCCTGAGTTTCATCCGATGTCTACAGGCCAATCTGTTGTGTGTCTGGCGCCGTGATGTCAAACCAAATTGTAAGGAGCTGTGGATATTCTGGTGGGGAGATGAGCCAAACCTAGTAGATGTAATACACCATGAGCTGCACAGTAAGTATTTTTTTTCCTCTTGAACCTAGCTTCAGCTTCAGATCTAATTCTTCACTGAAAGCTTTTCTTCATTGTAGCCTTCGGTGTTTATATACACAGAGATGTATAAAAAGGACATGCATTCTACTTTTTAAATGATGCCCCAGACCAGAAAAAAATTGAATTGGATATGCGAAGGCTTGTGGTTTGGGACATGAGTCCTTTTGAGTAAAATCCAAGTGTGCATATTGAACTAAAGTAGATCAGTGAAGATATAAAGGCTTGGTGACCCTCCATGTAGACACTTAATCGCTAGTTTTAAATCTTTTTTGTTTTTGAATTTATGGGAACAAAATGTGGATAAATTTGTACTTTTGCATGAATATCCAAATCCCCAATCTATTGCAAGTGGTCAAAGGTTTCTTCTCCTTTATGGTGTTTGTGCATACCCAAGTATTGTATGAATTTTGTGATGAACCAGGCCAATATTTGTAACCTAGAGCTAAATGATGAAAATAGAGTTAGTGGGAGGCCTTCACCTAATCTCCCACAGCCATTTTCCCCCAAGACAGTTCAGTGGCTGGATCTTTGGAAATGTCGCTTAATTTTATTACGTTATCCTAAATTAGAGGAGACTTTATGTCATTCAGATACTTCTACAGCACTGGTGGATTGCTTATGTTGCAGTGGACACTAAAAAAAAGGGTATTTGCAGTTTGGCAGCAAGCTGATACAGTGTTGGTTGCTGCCTGGCTGCTTAGGTGAGGAACATCTGGAAAACACATGTCACTGCTGGTAAAAAAAAAATTAGAGACACCATAGTAAGTTTTCTTACTTTCAGGAGACCTTGTATAAATAAGTCATCTTATGGACAGAAGTGCTTACTCTGCAGGAGCGTAGCCAACATGACAGCATTCAATCACAGCTCATTGCCATTCACAAAATCCGTTATTACGGATCCTTCTGCTATTTTGAAAACTCATGAAATATTATTCCATCATACAGATTCAACCCAGGATGGAGAATATGGTGCAGACAGGCACCACTGTGGCCCTCTTGTACTGTTCCCCGCCCTAAATAAATACAGACAGTAAGAAAGACAGATGTGGAGAGGTGGCATTGCATAAAGCAAGTCATCAGTCTTCAGTATTAGGTTTTATTTCTGAATGTATCTTCTGTTTTTCTGAAAATAAAAGGCTAACTGTAGGCCAGTGCATTTTTGGAAGTGTGTGTGTTGTTCAGATCAAACCTTAGCACTATAAATGTTAATCTTGTCCACCGTTAAATGTGTTATGAGCTGTCTTCCAGTTCTAAGGACCTGGGTTTGTTCAGCTAAGGCTATTGTATCCATAACATTTCTGAAGGAGAGATCCATTCTTGAAGTATGCTGGGCTGATACCTGATTTTGTAAAACACCAGGTGATGGAAGTTTGTGCCTGAAGGGATGCACTCTTCTGTTAAGCTGTGCAGCTTTTGATAGCTACATAACCTTCTGCCATTTCTTCAAATAAGATACTCTTCCACATGTCCTTATTGGTTCTGTAGCTCTTCAAATGGTCTGTGGAGATACACAGCCTGTTTCTGAACTCAAGCAAGTCTGCCATCAAACATCTTCACAACACCTAGCTAAAGACAGTCTAAACCTTGCTCTGAATAGGTGCAGCATTTTTGTTCTAGAAGCCAAACACAAAAATGGAAGCTTTCTCGTTGTGTTACCCCTTTGCAGCTTTTCAAGAGTGCCACCTTCTTTGATTATCAGGTGAAAACTCTTCTATTATTATAAAAATAATGCTGCATTTGTATAATCCTGGCTTAAAATGAAACAAAAGTGACCTTTTTGGTTTGGCTTTTTTAATGATTGGTGATTATAGTTTTGGATTGCCTTTTGTAAGCTGCTTTGTTTGCTGATGAGCAGGATAAAAATATATATTTGACTAAATAAATTAAAACAAGTGAGCTGTTTAATCTGCGAGGTGAATGGCTGGGGTAGACCATCTGTGGCCTTCCAGATGTTGAAATATCTCTCTCCATCTCCCTCATTGGAAATTCTGCTGACTGGAATTACAGTTCACATCTAATGGGTAACAAGTTCCTCTCTTCCCCCTTGGTGCTTGGTCCAACAGCGAGACAGTAGTGACTGTCCAATTCTAGTGAGGTAGGCATTGCATGACATCACGCGCAATGCCTTTCACTGTGTCTGGGTTGCTGTTGTAGAAGCCAGACCCTTGTTTCTGTTTTTCTTGAACTCCTCTCTGTGACATTCCCGTGTTGTCATCTTTTGGTCTTTATAAAATAAATGACTTCATGAATACCAGATTGTTTTCTTGGCAAAGAACCTGGGAAATCTCTGAATAGGGATGATTTTCATGTGCCTCTTGGCCTGTTTGATGCAGGTAGCGCTGCATTCATTTATCATGAAAAGAAGGGCTCTGAAGTGCTGCATCACGAGTTCCACGGATGTTAATTTTTTATGAGGCACCTGTTTGAAATGGCAGCATGGGCGTCATTCCTATTTACCCAGCTAAGGTTTAATAATATGTTTTTCTCTTTATGTGATGTAGCCTATTTATTTTTCAAGTGCAGTTTGGGGCTGAAGAGTGAATACTTATTGGAAGGAAGGAAACCTTATTGGAAGGCAAACAAGCTTACTGTTTTGCCTTCCTGCTATCGAAAGGTGTCTCTGGCTTCGGTGTGATGCGTTAAGTAACCGAGTGGTAGTAACTTGGTGTTTGCTGACATTAATTGTAAATTGAAAAGCATGCAACATCTGGGAGTTGAATTTGTCATTTCGTGTCTGTATGAGTATTTCTGCATGCCATATATTGGAATGTAATGGATTTTGAAGAAATAATTACATCGCCCGTTGTTGGTAGAAATTTATATAAGATAACAAGCACTTTCCTGTTAAGGATGTCTTCTGAGAAAGAGAAAAGGGAAGTTTATAGAAATAGATTTAATACTGGGAAGGTTTTTTGTTTTTTGTTTTTTTTTGAAAGGGAGGGGAAATAGGCATCAGTAGAAAGAAAGTTGACTTCTCCTTAAGTTTTTTGGTATAAACATTGAGTATACTCGTGGCCCAGTTCTTTGTTCTTTGCTTTTGAACCAAAGATATGAGGAAAGCCCTCTAGGAGATACCAAACTAAAAGCAACTTTCTTGGGGAAGACCTACTTTGTTCAGCCCAGGGTCCTTTCATGTAGGCCTGTGGCACTCCTTGAAAATCCCTCCCCCCAGGTGGATTGTGACCAGATCTTTGCATGATTGAATAATGTTAGGTCAGGGTTTCTCAACCTTGGCAACGGCTGGCTGGGGAATTCTGGGAGTTGACACTCACACATCATCAAGTTGCCAAGGTTGAGAAACCCTGCATTAGGTTGACCAAAATAAATATTTATACTATGTAGATTTTACAGGTTATATTTACTTTTTCCAATTGTTAAGTGCATTTTAATTTACATTTTTGATGGGGGGGATTACTTAAGAGTACTTCAGATGGTTTGAATGTTTATAATCAAGCACATTCCAGGTTTATGTTACAAGTTCTTTTTATTGGACCACTTTTATATGTATTAAAATATGACCTCACCATTGTAGCATATGCTTCCATTTACTGTTAAAATTTTATGGGGAAAATGAAGATTCTTATGGTTGCCATTATTATTTAATAATCCATTTCATATTGCTTCTGGTGCTCTTATATATACATATATCTCAGGAACAGGAGATACTAACTTGGAATGTTATTGAAAATAAGGGTATAAATCCCTTAGAAAATAAATCACTTTGTATTGTGCTATCAGTGTGTATTGAACTTCATGGAGTACAAGAAGAAAGACCTTGCTCCAAGGAGTTTACAGTGTAAAATTCAACACAGGATATAGTAGAGAGGGTCTGGAGCAATGATGGTGAATCTTTTGGGCTCAGTGTATCAAAAATTCAGAAAATGCTTAACTTGACTCTGCTGGAGTGTCACCCCCTCCCCTGAACAAAAGAGAAATAATTCTTTACATATTCATTTATTTAAAAAAAAATACAGCCACACCACATGTGTGGTGGCTATGCATTATACAAAGAAACATCAAATAATTACAAAAATGAAATACGAGTAAAACAAACTCAGTTTCTTTGGTAACTCAAGCCGGGAGAATAGTTGTTGGGTGTTGGTGAACACTAGTGTGTTACCCAAAACGTTGTGGCATGTCACCTTTGACTCACGTGTCATAAATTCGCCATCACTGGTCTAGAGGAAGAGCCAAAGAACTGATGGGTATGCAGTTGGTTTTCTACATACGATTTTACTTACTTGCAAACTGTTTTATGAAGAGAATGGTTGCTGCTGAGCATCATCCTTTTTACAACGCTTGTAGTTAAATATGAGCTAGGCACACATATAACATAGTTTTATATAGCCATCGTATAGTTTGTGAACTCTCACTAGCTGCTGGCTTGTACATTCAGTCAGCTTTCTAGATAGTTAATATCTCTATCTTTCCTTGGTACAAAAAGCAATATAAAGCTGTCATTAGATTATTATAAGAGAATTCTAGTTTATGAGTGCTAATAGGGAGTTCTGTGTTTATAGGTAGAAGCAGGCTTGCTTTCAGCTCTGATTGTTACCATGTGAAAACACAAATATTGATTACTGGTTACTTTGGGTGAGGTTGAGTTCAAATCTATATTGTCGAAATATATCCTGAAGTGTTTTCCATTATCCCCAGATTTCTGTGAGTAGGTTAATTTCCCTGAGAAGGAACATAGCTGTCTAGATATATGACCCTTTGATAATGACTTCACAGGCTGAAAGTTTCAGAGCATTTATGTTCTGATCAGTTCAGTTTTATTGTTAATATCCCAAAGTATTGTTCATGTGGTAACAATACTTCTGCACATCAATTATATTTTGGCCTCCTTATACTCTGACATCTGGCTGACATCTTAGAAGCAGAATAAGCTACTCTTTGGCAAAAACTAAAGCCTTTGTGTAGTGTGTGGGGCACTTCCTGGATATCTTATTTCTTTGCCA